AGGATGGAATTACAGCGGAGCTTCTGAAATCGGGTGGAACATCGGTTCTTAAAGTCCTGCAGAAACTCTTCAGTATCGTTATCCATGGTAGCATTATCCGGAGGTGTGGAGCAGAAGTGCGGTGATCTTGTTCTTCAAGAAAGGCGACAACGCTTTCTTGAATAACTACTGACCGATTTCCCTTCTGAAATGCGCCTACGTGCTGTTTTCGAAAGTCGTTACGAATCGTCTCCCACGCAGAACTTGAGGACTTCCAGCTTCCCAAACAAGCCGGTTTCTGAAAAGGTTTCAGTACCATAGATACATACTCTGCGGTAGATTGTACAGAAGACCGAAAAGTACAATCTGACACTTGGCTTGGCGTATGTGGACTATGAGAAAGCCTTAGATTCTCTCGAATTTGGGCGGTGCTACAATCCTTTCGGCGGGAACAAGTTGACTATCGGTATATCTAAGTGTGAAAGTGTTTGTACAGTAGGGCTACGATGGCTATCCGAGTGCAAAACCAGAATTCAAAACTGCAGAGAGGTGTAAGACAGGGTGACGTCATATCCCCGAAACTATTCACCGCTGTATTTGAAGACGTTTTCAAACTACCGGACTGGTCTGAATGATACGATATTAAAATCGATTGCGAGTACATTACTCACCTTCGATTTACCGACGATATAGTCCCTATGGAAGAATCGCTGGAGGACCTAAGCACTATGCTCAATGGCCACAATAGTGTCTCTCAACGGATAGGTCTTAGGATGAAAATGGACAAAAAAAGAGCGTGTACATTTAACACAAAATTTGTAGATGTTTTCTCAAACTTAGAGGTAGATTTTTTTTTCCAAATTTATACGAGACCACTTCTTTATTATAACATATTTAATTCAAAAACGAATCATCCAAATCGGTTTAAAATTGACAAGAATATCGCGTTACAAACATTAACCTCTCCTATTTCTAAACCGTTTAAAAATTATTTAAACTGGGATGTGTGCCTAAATTATTGTTATTAAATATGTTAGTCAATGTGTTGGTTAGTAGCAGCATAGTTTAAAGACCTTACAGTTCGGAAGCGCATGTACTTGTGTAAAGTAACTGTGGAGGTACTGCGGAGCACGGGGCGGGCCGACCTTATGCTATCACACTTCTCAAGGCTGATAGATAATGTGCATGCGGTTGAGGTGAGCGTGTTGTGTGTCGCTCTTCCTCTGGATCTCCGCTAATAGTAGACGTATACAGAAACTTTAAAACTTTTATTCAAATATATTTATTCAAAATTTACTTAAATATACACGAAATATTAGGAGTGTATAAGGACTACGCTCAGCTTCAAAATTACCTACGCAGCGCCGAGTAAAAATCTTGGACCCCGGTACAACGCTAGCAAGGTACCGTGAGACCTTTTGTTTAATATAAACTAATCAGCGCTTGCGAGGTCGATAACATCTTGTCCTTGTAATAGTGGTCCTACCCACTGACTTATTGACTCGCGTGCTGATGAGAACATCCTTACCTGCGCTCAACCATCTCCGGCTTACTTGGCGTGTGATTTAAGGCTCAGCTCACACTGCTACACAAATGGAATCTAATTTATTGAAAAAATCTTACTCCGAATCACACCTGGAGTTGTCAGGATATCATTTTGATAGTAGCTTTATTGCACAACGCTGCAAAACAAGTGCCTGGAGGACGATAATGAACCTGATAGGTTTCATGTGCTTAAAGAGGAAATGGAGACCATAGTGTTAGGAGCTTGAGGTTCCTGACAATAAAAATTGCCGATAAAATTACCTAAATTAACACTTTAATTTACTTTACACAAATTAAAACCTAAAACACTAAAATTAAACACACTAATTCACTTTATTCCGCTCCGAAGCTTTGCTTGTCTCGCCAAATCCAATACTGCCACGATCGCATCTTGCAGCGCCTATTTATATAAATTAGCAAAGAGATATCCAGAATGTTCAAGTAAACACGCGCAAGGTACCGAAAGTTCGAGTTTTAAACTTCAAGAAATTTAGTTCTTCGGTTCGAGACTAGATGGCGCAGTGCCGTCGACTTGAGCGCGTAACAATAGTAAATATGTTTAAGGTACAAGAATGTGAAATTAATAAAATTACCCCGGCGCTTTTAGAAATTAAGGACACAAATTCTAGCATAAAAAAAACAATATCGTTCCTATAGACGCAAAATGAGGAACTCAAAAAAACTGAAACATCTCGAAAGCCAAAACAAAAAAGATAAACAACAAATAGCTATTTTAGTGCATAACTTGGAAGATATGCAGCGCGAAGGCCATAAGGCCAACTTTGAGATTAAGAACGTACCCAAAACAACCGAAGAAACAAGTGAAAACTTGATTCATAATTCATAATTATTATGAATTGTGAAAACTTGTTAGAAATGGTAATGATATTATTAATAACAGTCGGAAGTCGAACAGGTCTTTCGAGTAAAACGAAAAAAGGGTGCGAAGGGTGAGTCACTAGTCATAGTCAAGACATCGTTCTCAATCATGAAGACAGAATTCTTGGCTATGTGTAAGGCTTTCAATAGGAAAAATAAACAAAAGCAGCTAACAGCTTGTTGGACTGCGTATGGCTGAGCGTACCTGCGAGAGCATGACAAGTCCCCCGTATTAACAAACACACCAATATTTGGTGAAAATGCAGAGTTGAAAGAGAATATTCTTCATACATATGAAAATGTGATGAAATTCTATGAATGGATACGACAAGACTTAAAAGTAAGAAATAACACAAGAAAAGAACCTTCGAAAATCGAAGAATTGAGGATATAATCTTCTATTCCAATTGTCACACACAAACGAGTTTTACAGTATATAAAAAGTTATCACTCAAAATGTTATAATTTGAAAAAGTCTTTAAAGAAACTTAAGGAAGGAAAGTTAGAAGAGTTACAAGGTAGAAAGCTTTTTAACATAGCTGCATGTAAATGTAAAAAATATATAAGCTGTGCTTGTGTGAGAAAAAAAAAGTACCAAAAGAGGAACAAATATTTTTAGAAGACCAACGCTCTAACAGACTAATGGTTCTAGGAAGAACGGATCTTGTCCAGAGTAAAAAATTGCAGAATAGAAGATTACGTGCTCTTAAACATGAAATCAGGCATAATTCAAATATAAGAATTAAAGAAATTCCTTCTACTTCGTATCGGCTAAATAGATCTGAAATTTGTTCTAATTTCGACCTTACTTATTGCTCGTCGGCCGCAGATGGTATGGACACCACTCAAACAGTGGATCAAAAGCCTATAAAGCTCACGGATGCCAGTCTTCATAGTTTGACGACCACATGCGATAGGTAAGGAGTATCAGACAGAGCTGCAGCGGCTATCGTATCATCTGTTCTGTGTTCTGCTTCTGATGCCGACTCTGAGGCACAGTCCACTAACGTTGTGGACAGGATGAAACTAAGAAGAATAAGACAGAAAGTACGCAAGCAAATTTTAACAGAAGAAAGAGTTAAATAAATTCCCGCATTATATTTCAATGGAAGAAAAGACAAGACGGCTAAAATTGTATTAAAAGGATTAAAGAGGTTTAGAGTGATTGTACAAGAGGAACATATTTCGATTATAAAAGAATAAAGTTCTGTTTACGTTGGGTATGTTGTTCCAGCATCCGGCAGTGCAAAAAATATTAAAAGAGCTATCCACAGCTTTTTGACGATTGAAAAAGTATCACTAGAGAGTATAATGGCAGTTGGCTGTGATGGAACAAACACAAATACAGCAAAAGTGGGAGGCATGATTCGTCTTTTGGAAAATAGACTATCTCGACCATTGCAATGGATAATTTGTCTCTTACACGCCAATGAGTTGCCATTGAGGCATTTGTTTACCTATTTGGATGGCCCTACTTCAGGACCTAAATCATTTTCAGAGCAAATTCGTAAAGCATTAGAGGCATGAGAGACGTTGTCGTTGGCCCACTTTAAAAAGATAGACTGTGATCTACCTCCACAAATAACAACAGATCTCAGTACAGACCAAAAATATTTACTAGAAATTATTACTGCTGTCATAAGTGGATCCTGCTCTCCCGATTTATTAAACCGAAGCCCAGGTAAGCTATCCCATGCCCGCTGGTTAACAAGAGCTAATCGCATACTGCGTTTATATATTTCTACTAAAAATCCACAAGAAAATCTTGTAATTTTAGCTACGTTTGCCGTAAAATCATACGCCCTGTCTGGTTTGCTATCAACACATTCATCCTGTAAAGATGGTTCAAAACATTTATGGAAGCTCACTAACAGCACTAGGAGAGGAAGAGTATCGGGTAGGACCCGAAGCGAAAGGTCGATCTGTTATGTCGTCCTCAAAAAATTAAATAAAAACAGTGTAAAAAGTGCACTAAATATCTCAAAATATCATTATTTACGTGCATAAATAGTGGTGAGACTCTTTAGTGGTGTGACAGTGGCTAAAAACTTTGTTTCAATACTAGATTTTGATCAAAAACTGAACGAAAAGTGATTTTGTTTTCTTTTGCAAATGAAGGTGAATGTTAATAACTTCTCGCAAAACAAAACAAATAACGAGTGTCTCTAGTATCTCAAATGAGTTTAGTCCGGAATATAACACTTAAATTCACCATTCATCAAACAAGCCAGCTAGCCTAGTGGGGAGTGCGACGCGTTACAACCAAAAAAGACGTGGGATCAAATCCACGATATAATTCGACTTCTTTTTGTATGTTTCTTTAAGACAGCCTTTAACAACTTACAAAGAATAAACCTAAAGAAACAGAAAAGCAGTAGCACCAAATCCTTATTATAGGAATATAAATAGATTGTAGGAAAGTAAGCAAATTTAAGATGAATACAAGCTATAGCAACATAACATTCAGACACATGCGGCGTTATAATTCCGAAAATGATGTAGCATGCTTGGAGGGCTCAATAACCAATGATTCCGTTATTATGTACGGTGATAGTTTACGGAGCCTTCCAGACGTATCTATACACAATAGCTCAAGGATGATTGAATTAGAAATGCAAATTGAACAACTAAAACAAACTATTCAAGCTGCTAATACAGAAGTAGATAATTTGATATTGCAGAACAATGACTTGCAAAGGGAACTAGAAAATTGCCAGATGGTGATTAAATCACTAAGAGCTATACAAACTTTAGGACCTGAAAAAATACGCGGTATGTCACCCAAGCCAGCTAGCAGTTTAAACAAAACACAACTTTTCAATAAAATTCAAAAAATCGCAGTAACTCAAACCGATGATAATCCGAGCTCACAAAATATTAAAATAAAAAGGAATAAAAGAATGAAATTGCTATTAAAACCTAAAATTAAATATGCAACTAAAAACCTTCTTAAAAAAAATTAAAATACAAAATAAGAGGGTTCGAAAATTACAGAAAGAACTGAAAAACTTAAAGATAGAGAAGAATAGAATACAACATAAATTATTAGAATTAGAAACACTTACTAAACTAAAAATATCAACGAAGGTCCATAAAAAACAAGAAATAATACATAAGCAGGAAAACTACTCTTCAAAGCTGCAAGGAAAAGGAAATAAAATAGAAACATCAGAAAGAGACAGGGCATAAAGCGGAAAAAGAAAATAGAACACAAAAACACTGACAAGAATAGAAATGTTTTCGGACAGAATAGGGAGTGGACTAGCAATCAAATTAATGCAACAATTGGAAAATACAAAAATAACAAATTACTGTCAAACAGGGGGAAATCATAAACAAATATTGAAGCAATTATATACCAAAGATTTGAAAGAAAATGACTTAGCGGTAATACTAATAGGAAACTACGACATTAAAATGGGGACATCATATGTGGATGAAATTCGAAGAATTGTGAGCAAAGAAAATAGAAAATTCAACATTTTGTTAGGAAGTATAATATACGACAACATAAATGATGATAAAATCTTTACTATTAATAAAAAAATCTTTAATCTAGCTGCGGTATCTGAGAATGTCAGATATCATGAAATAAATGTAAAAGTCAAGGTAAAGGTAAAAAAATATAGTGATTGAGGAAACTGTTAAAAGTATCAAAGATAGTCACTTTAATGCTTCGTCTTGTTTGCACTTTATCAAATTAAATTCTAATTTAAATTGTTCACTAAATTTTTTAGACACAACCAAGACTCCATTAACTGGTTAACGATTGTGCATGCTAATATTCAGAGTATTAATAATAAATATTTAGAGCTAAATTATTAACAGAAAATACAACTTGTAATGTGCTTTGTCTAACAGAGACTTGGACCAATGAATTGAAATTAGGCGTAACGACTATTGAAGGCTTTAAACTTGTATCATATTACAATAGGATGTTATTTGAACATGGAGGTACAGCTATTTTTGTTAGACACTCACTTGAATATAAAGTAAGACATGACATTGTAAAGTTGAGTATTGAAATGAATTGTGAACTAGCGGCAATTGAAGTAAAATCGTCTAAATTAGTTATTATTTGTGTATATAGACCTGATTATGATTATTTAATATTCGAAGATATTATGACTAAAGTTATCGAAAAAATAGGTAGGGAAAACAAAAGAATTGTAATTGCAGGAGATTTTAATTTAAACCTATTGAAACCAAATAATAAAGTATGCAAATTTTTAAAACTATTGAGTGAATTAAAATGTAAATTCGTCTTAAATGAGCCAACCCGAACCAAAGGGAAGTCTTCCACATGTATTGATAATTTCATTTTAAATGACGATGATGATTTTCAGTATCACAGGGGTAAAGTATTAGACGTAAAGTTATCAGATCATAACGTCATAGAATTAAAGTATAAATTGAATTCTAAGTATCCTAAACCAAAGGAGAAGACTGAGGTTAGATCTAGAATAATATCTCAGGAAAATATAAAATATTTTCATTACTTGTTCTGTAAAGACTTTGAATGTGTAAGAAAGGATGTAAATTTGAAACTTGACGCAAATGAGAAAATGAACATTCTAAAGACCATATAAAATATTGTTATTACACTGCATTTCCATTAAAAACAATAAAACCTATAAAAAATAAGAATAAACTAACAACCAAGGGTATTTTGATATCTAGAAATAATCTTCAAAAACTCGAAATATTACATAACTTGTATCCAGATAAAATTAGAAAATCCAATCTAAATAGATATAAGAGAATATATAGAAAAGTACTACAAACAGCCCAAAAACTTAGGAACGCGTCTAGAATTAAAAATTCCACGAATAAAATTAAAACTACTTGGACTATTATTAGGGACAAAAAAAATCATGTTAAAACACAAAGAATAAATAAAATTACTAAAATTAAAAATCACTATGGGGACATAATTACAAATAATAAAAATATGGCAAACAGTTTCAATGAGTTCTTTTGCAATATAGCTGGTAAACTTACGGAAAATTTAGAGGTTAAGGTTGAAAAATGTAGCAAATATTTAAAAAACCCAAAAAAATAATAAAATTCGCTTTCATAAAATAAATAATTCTGAATTTTGGAATATTATTCATAGTTTAAAATGTAAAACGTCTAGAGACATATACGATATGTCAACAAAAACTATTAGAGAACTTATTATCCATAACAAAGACATGTTTGATATAATATTGGAAGTCTTGAATGATTGCATTATAGAAGGAATTTTCCCAGATAGCTTAAAAATAGGAAAAATTGTGCCACAGTTCAAAAAAAGGACAAACTATTGAAATTGGTAATTACAGACCGGTGTGTATATTATCAGTTATATCAAAGATTTTAGAAACTGTCTTAAAATCTAGGATATTAGACTACTTTGAAAAAAATAAACTATTTACAGACTGTCAATTCGGTTTTCGCAAAAAAAAGATCAACGGAAATGGCTATTAGAAAAACAGTATACTTTATATTGGACGCTTTGGATGGATCGCAGAAGGTATCTAGCATTTTTTGCGATTTATCTAAGGCGTTCGATTGTCTGAGGCATGATATCTTAATTTATAAATTAAAATTCTACGGATTTGAAGGAAAAGAATTGAAAATAATGCAGTCTTATCTTAACAATCGAACGCAAATAGTTAATTTAAATAATACTAAGTCTGATTCACAACATAGTTACATTGGCGTTCCGCAGGGCTCTATCCTGGGACCATTGCTGTTTTTAGTGTATGTGAACGACCTTGCAAATAATTTACCTGACTGGGCGATGGTTACACTATTCGCGGATGATACACAGGTTGGTGTTAAAGATAAAAATGCAGTCCAAGTATCCAAGAAGACAAATGATATTTTAAATATGCTTAAAAATTGGTTTGAAACAAACGGAATAATTTTGAATGCAGAAAAAAATATCATTATTAATTATGCAAGCAAAAAAACAAATAAAGTCACAAAAAGTGACGTTACATTTTTAGGGTGTACTTTCGATTCCACTTTAAGTTATGAAACCCATATAGATAACGTCTGTAAAAAGTTAGCCAGTGCTAATTACGCTTTATTGAAGCTTAAGCCCATTATTGACAAGAAAATTCTTATATCCGTCTAATTTGCATATTGTCACTCAATTATTAGCTACGCGATTACGATATGGGGAAATGCTACATAAATTGAAAGAGTATTGATTTGTCAAAAAAGGTCGATTAGAATTATACATGGATTGCAAAGATCGACATCAGCTAGAGCCTATTTCCAAAAAGCGAAAATTATGACTGTCGTTTCGTTATATATTTATAGATCACTTCTAGAAGTACACCAGGAAAAAAGTAAACTACCAATGAAGAAGCACGTACATAACTACAATTCGAGAAATCGCGAAAGATTAGTTGTTCCAAGAACCAGATTAGTCAAAGTGTTCAAGCAAGGTTTTGCAATAAAAATTATAATGTACAATAAATTGCCAATAGAAATAACAAGACTTCCGCTAAATGCGTTCCGACAAGTGATAAAAGCATTCTTTTTAAATCACGCTTTTTACAACATAGAAGAATATATGCAATGTTCATTTTTTGACTTATTTGACACATAAAATAATGTACTGTAAATGAGATGTATCTTAATTATATTATTGTAATTGTATAATTTGTAATTTTAACTATATTATTGTATCTATATAATTGTAATTGTAATTTTGACGTATCAATGTTACGTAATGTAACGTAATGGCAAATAAATAAATAAATAAATAAAATAGGTATTTGTCCAGCGAGTTGTCAGCGATAGTGGACCATGTTTTAATTCGAAACAGTTACTTTGCTCATCCCGAAAACATGTTGTTAAGTATGATAACAGATTCACGGAAGCATATTAGAGAACTCGCTGCAAGACGTATTTTAAAAGCTCATCAAGCTAATAAAAATTCTGTTCCGCGCATGTAAGAGGTGCTAAAAGTGAACTTTAATTCACGTTGTTACATAGACTTGATTAACTGGCACAAAATATATAGGAACCGCCAATACTAAAGAATATTTCTGATGAGCAGTTGCAAGATGTCATTGAAAATGGAGGAGATGCAGTTTTGGAGTTTATGAGACTGCCTTGCCACACCCAGGCTGTGGAAAGATCAGTCAAAGTTGTGACAGAAGCAGCTCTAAGTGTATGCGAAAAGAAAAGAAGAGAGGGATTCATAAAATCTAAATTAGCATCTCGAAAAGTCATGCCAAAGTTTGAGACGAAAAAGGATTTCTGCTTTAAAAAATAACATTATTCATAGAGACATAACTTTTTTAACCTGTATTCACATTCAAAATAAACTATTTTATTAATGAAAATAATCTTTATTTTATTATTTCCATGCATAAAATATAACATTTACTTCTAATTTTTTATGTAGGGTGTACTATACAACGCGTCTATAAAATTTTTTTTTTTTTTTTTTTCGTCTATAAAAACTTGAAAAATGAAATTTCAAGTCTATAGCGGGAGTTCAAGCTGTCGAGTTAGAATTTTTATATTAAGGTATATTATTTACAATTACATAAAGCAACTTTTACATGGTACTCCAAAAAGATTCTAGAAAAAAAAATTCATACAAAAGTGTTCCACCCTATTGTGTATCCTCGTAGGCAATACGTGTCCTGGAAGTATGCCAGGCATTGCTAACATATTGAGGTATGCCAGTCTATTTGTACGTTCATGTGATTGTTCAATGGTTTTATTGATAATATTTATATTAATATCACCCGTAATAACAACATTTTATGTCCTTTTATAGAGTCTAAATGTCTGCACAATGAGTTTATAAAAAGTACAGCGTTTCTAATGAAGGCGACTAATAAATGCAAAGAATTTTATAGCTGGATAATACAACTTGCACGCATGATGCATGTATTAATTTAATTTATTTTATAGTACTTTTAAGCGTGTTTTTTAAATAAACGACTACCCCATCACACTGATTAATAGGATTTGTAGTCGAAAAAGAAATGTATCTAATTATTCAACTGTGTTATGGCTTCGTTACCGTAAGGTCTGCATTCACTTAATACTAACAAGTCAACTTAAAAGTTAAATTTCGATAGAAAAATGTAAAAGTTGACAATTTTTTAACAATGCTTCGGATTTTTGTGCAATAAGAGAATCAATTTCAAAATGAATGATTCTACTTTTGACTGTTCAACTTGGATTTCATCTATTACTTCCAGATTAATGAGAGAAATATTCATTAATATTTTCGTATATAAAGCAGATTTTACGTACTATAAGGAATTGATTTAGTTTTATTAATATTACGATTTCTTTTGATTTACGTATAACTTGATGAGGAAAATATATAAATATTGCAAGTATGTACATTGTGTGTATGTGTGTGTGTGTGTGTGTGTGTGTGTGTGTGTGTGTGTGTGTGTGTGTGTGTGTGTGTGTGTGTGTGTGCGTGTGTGTGTGTGTGTGTTATTTAGGCAACATAATACAACTATTCCAAAATAAAATTCTGAATTTTTTTTCTCGTTCCACCCTAATACATAACTGCTCGGACCATTTTGAAATATTAATTTTGCTGAAAATAGATATTAATATACACTTGTCGTCCATTAAGTTAAAAGCCGGATAGTTACCTCAGACGGATACATGCCCCGGTTTTGATAACACTATGTTAGGATTATAATTTTTGTTAGCGCTTGACTACAATAAGAAGTGACCCTCTGCAGGCCTCAGTGCCATGTATGCCATTGGAATAGGTGCAGGTGTTTTATCCGTGTGAGCGAAAATCTTCTGCGGTGATACTTTGACATACGTTGAAATTATTTTGGTAAGTAATTTTTATTGAATATTTTTATCTACTGATCATGCTTTCATTCAACTTTTTGTTTCTTTGCATGCAATAGACTTTTAATTAGTTTGTTTATTTTGTTTTGTTTTTTTCTGAATAGATTTTATTTATTTTCTAAATAAAAAATGCAAGTATCCGCATAAAAAAGTATAGTCGCCCTACTTACTTTCGCTGATAGTTGCCCCTAGAGTGAATATGAATTCTTTAACGAGCAAAGGCGAATGTTTCTCCTTTTGTTGTTTTTGCCAATTTACTGTTACTATAACTTGTTTTAAATAAAATAAATTCTTAACTGTTTCTTATATTAATTCTACGTGAGCAAAATACCTCGCAAGTATAAACCAAACTAGGCGTAATATAATCTGGACAGAAGAGAGCTTACACTTGCGTTAGAAAAATTGGATAAAAACAGAAAGGTATCAATGAAATATCGACTGAATGGAATATATTCAAGCATATTAAATCTTTCTCAATACTGTTTAGCATTAGGAGATAGCGACATTGAAAACTACATCTTTGATGACATTGAGCTATCATTGGCATCGTTGATATTTTTAAATAAAAAATTGTCCAGAAGAAGAATAAAGTAGAGAAAATAAAGAAAACAAATAAAATTACGGAAACTAAAATTATCACAGACAAAGATAATAATTTTAAAAGAGTAAAAACTAAACCACTGATAACAAAAAAAGCATTGAGAAGAAAAAAGGCCAGATGCAAAAATAATAATAAAAAGAACAAAAA